AAGATAGCGACATCCAATGTGAAAAGATAGCGACACCCAATGTGAAAAGATAGTGACACCAAATGTAAAAAAATAGCGACACAAAATATAGGGAGACAGCGTTAAGAGCGGCACTAAATATAGTAATATAGCATTAAGATAAAGCAAATGACACAAATACCAACATTAAATACGAAAAATGAAAATAGTAGGTACCAAGAACCAAGCTAACGTCAAATTCGAAAAATATAAGCCAATGTCGAATGCGGGGAGATGCAAAGTCAATGTTGAACGCAAAGAGATGCAAAGCCAATATCAAATGTAAATAAACGTAAAACCGAAGCCGAACACAAAGAATCGTGAATCCAATTTAAATGTGAAAAAAGGTAAAGCCAATGAACGCAAAGAGAGGAAAGCCAGCAAAAGCAAAGAGAGGAACCAACGAACGCAAAGGAGGTAAAGCCACTGAATTCGAAAAGGTAAGTAACAAATGTGATGTAAAGCTAACTAATATTAAGTCCAGGAAACGCCAAAGGTAAAAAGCCAATACTCTTGGTCGTTAATTACATAGTTATTACGTCGTAATGACATATTATTGCATCGTAATGACATTGTAAGACATTGTACGTAATTACATTTTTTCTTACATTTGAAAAATGATGGTTTTGCGTCAGATTAAATCTTATGCACGTCAGATAACTGATCAACAGGTGACGTGCGTCATTTGAAAATCAGCATCTGACGTGCGTCAAATTAGATCCGACGCAAGGAAGCATCTGAGGCACAACATATATAAATAACTCCTAAATAAAAAAATCAAATATTGAAAAAAAATATTATAATAATAAATAAAAAAATCAAAAAAAAGACCAAAATTAAAAAAAACATTCTAAACTAAAATTATTATTGCTACAACATAAATCATAAAAAGTTAATAAAAATTTATAGATACAAAAGATTTTGTATAACACAATATTTTCAAAAATATATTTTGAAATATTTTGAAATATTTTGTATTTAACAAAAATTTCAAAATTTATTTCATAATATTTCGAAATTATTGTGCTATGCAAAATCTTTTGAAATATTTCATATCTATAAATTTGCTAATGTAGTTAAAAATCAAATATAATATAAAAATCAAAACAATTTTTTTATTTTGAAATTAGAATCAAGATTAGCTCAAGATTAGAATTAAAGCAAAATATAATTTATACTAAAATTTTTAAAAGAATTTTTTTTATTAAAACGCGAAAGATAGTTTTATAAGCAAAATTTTGAGTTATTGGCGAAAATTAGTATTTGTTTTGATTTCACATTATATCTGATCCTGAAATTTGATTGGCTTTACAGAGTTGTGGTTACAATAACCATGGTTACAAATATATTAATCCTTATATTTTATATATTTAAAATATTTAAAGTGCAATTACAAAGGCTTGATTATATTAGTTAATGTCACGGATTATGGTAAAATCGGATTATAGTAAAATTTGAACTTATAAAATTTAAAATTTTTTGAGATGTATTTTCTTAGCTTTGTTTTCGAAGTTAGGTTAAAGAAACCCCAAATTTTACCATAATCCGCGACAGTTAATATTAGAGTTAAAGTTAGTTTAGAATTAAGTTTAAAATTAAGTTAAAATTAAATATAAGCCTGCTCTATGTTCTTGTGCTCTGAACTCTACATACTAGTTATAAAACATCATAAAAATGGTATCAAAATTGTTAAATTTTGTTTGTTAAATCACAAGATATTCACCAAAACCGATTTAAAACTATAGTTCTAAAACTAGTCTTGGAACCATGATCTAAATTATTATCTTTGACTTTTTTTAAGACTGAGACTAAACCATAAAGACCAGTCTTAGAACTAACAGTGGTTTTTCAGTCTAGACCAGACCACATCCCTACATTTTATCATATATAATTAAATTATTTGAAAAAATTGAACATCCGAATATCCAATATTATAACATGACATCCCTGCGTATTATTAAAGATGAAGACAGCTATTAACTTTTATTTAATCTTACGATTTAAAAATAACGGCTAGATTAAAATCACCAATTTTTATCATATGAAATAACTTTTTTGAGAAATTGCTTTTGAAGTTCGTCCATTCGAAGACTATCAACCATTTTACCCATAAGAGGAGCAATCTCGGTTTTCAAAGTGTCATCAGATGTTAATCGTGCAATCGGTTTCTCTCGAAAATATTGAGCAAATCTGCCTTCATTTTCAAAACGCTCATTTGATATGTGTTCCCTGAAATCTTTCGTTGATGGTAGTCTAGTAAATAAAGGAATTTTGTCTTTGTCAAAAAATTGTATATGCGCGAATAGTAAGCCACGTGATGCAAGGATCGCAGCGGTTGGTGTCAGTTTTATTCCGACCTACGTAAATATATATAGTTTCAATTCATTGTTGAACATTCAAGTAAAAATAAAAATCTTTTTATACTTTAAAATCTTGATTATTCATCAATAGTTCTGCATCACTTAAACATTCCGATGCGAATTGACATTCTAAAATGTTGCCATAAAAATGTGAATAGTAGTGTCGCAGCATACACAAATATGTGTGGTATTCTATGCTCATATTATCCAATGTTGATTCAGGTGAATACATTAATGGCATTCGCTCACGGATATCGCGTGGGTGTATCAACTCTTTTTGAAGCGAGTTAATTTTTTGCCAAATTCCCTTCTGAATCTCATCATCAGAATCCGTTATTCCTATTGCA